TTGAGCCTAAAAACTATTCTCTCCATTTAATTTTAGTCACTATTTTCTTTTAATAAAATAAGATTGAAATAAATAATTAATAAAATTTTATATTTATTTTTAATTAACCATGACTTTTATATTTATTATAATATGTGTTGTAATTATTTATTAAAAATAAATACATTAAATGATATTTTAAAATGAAAAAGAGTTGACAATTAATTTTGAATACTCTAAATTAAAAAATAAAACTACTAAAGTTAAAGGAAGGAAGTGCAAAATTTTGATAGATGGACTTGGGATAAAATTATAGGCAAAGTCCTACATTAAGTTCCCAAACTTATTTCAAATTCTTGATTAAATCTCTAAACTTTTATTAAAACAAATAAATTCTTAAATTTAACGATTTAGACAATTTAACCCTCTTTTTTATAATAAATTTAACATTTATTTGTACCTTACCTATGTGGATAATGATAGAATTAGGTGTCAAGTCCTTGCGACCTTGTCCATACAATAAGCCACAAATAGGTATTAAATCTACCTAAGAAAGAGAGTTAAGTTGCCAAATTCAGGGATTTATGTGCTTAATAAAAGTTTAAGGGCTTAATAAAAAATTTGGGATTAGTTTAAAGGCCTAACATATAGTTTTGCCAAACTCATACTATTGGAACATTGAGTTGGGTCCGGCCCACTCCCTATTTCAATCACTGATCTGTTGTAACGTGGATCAGTGATCTTTATCCACCCGTCAGTTGAGCAGTTGAGTTGGGCCTAGAACACTGAAAATTTGATGATGTAAAAAGGCTTGGAGTTTATATTGGGCTTTTAAACCTCTTTTGAATTGATCCATTAAAGCTGAATTGAACTTGTTGAAATCCATAAAAACATAAGAGATTATTATAATGCATATCGTTCTCTTATTAATTTATTTTTTTTATAACCTATCTAAAAATTTACATTTTATTTAATACTTTTAAAAATTAATCATTGAATTAAAAATTTTATTTATATTAATTATGCATGTCAATTTTTATATTAATTTATTATTTTTAACTCTTAAATTAAAAAAACTTTACTACTAACACGTATTTAATTGTATTAAATTTTATACAATTAACAAATTATTTAAGCTTATTAAATTAATTTAAAAATTGACATATAAGATTTATATAAATAGAACCTTCAATTCAATTATTAATTTTAAAAATATTAATTCAAATATAAAATTTTAAATAAATCCTCTAAAAATTTTTTTGAGAGTAGGACCTTAAAAAAATCACTTTCTCTAAACGTAAACGTTCTTGCGCTGTATCTTTGAAGTTTTAAATGCCGTCCCAAATTTAACCCTTTATAAATTACAAAGAGTTTTTGGAAATAGACTTTGAATTCAACCCATTATTATTTTTTGTCGTTTCATACACAAGAGGACATTTTACATGTCTTTTTGTTTGTTTCCAGTAAGGCATGCCAAGTGATTCAACTTATGTGAGAAAAGGATAGTAAGGGTAATTACATAAATTTAAATCTTGACTAATAAGTGAGAACGTTTTTTATATTTAAAAATTTGGCTAGTGAGTCTAAAGGCCTTTTGCATTTTACATGTCTTTTTATTTTATTCAATGATTTTTTGAATTTGATTCTATATGCAATCCATGTTAAGTAATTTCATTTCATTAACAAATTATTTAAAAATTTTTGTAACATATACCTTAAAAATATGTTAAGGATACACTAGTAGTCCCAGTTGGGCTGATAATGTGCAATAAAAACTTTTGGCAGATGTCAAGATTATTCAAGTTCCTATAAGGACACTGATAATATTTCCCCTTTTCTCTAAAATTCCCTTTGTTAAAAAAAAAATGTTAAGATATAATTATTGTACTTTTTATATTAATTAATATAAAAAATAAAAATTTACATTTGTTTAATTAATTTTTTAATTAAAGTTATCAACACGATATTGACAATAAAATTAATTAATATTAATTTTAATATTAATTAATAAAAAAATACAATAATTACATGATTAGAAAATTTCATTATTTAAATCAGCATTTATATACAGTATAAAAGCATTACTTAAATTTGTGTACAAAATGTCAAGCTATGGACAACCTTTTTGCAAGGGAGGAAAATTGGACTTAGAACACTAAATACTCTATGTAGTGCATTAACTAACATCATGTCCCATACATGCAACATACATATGTCAATTAATTCACCCAAATACCACACTCTTGAATATTCATACTTTTCAAATTGAACTTACATAACATAATTAATTAGCATAATTTCTCCCAAAATTAATTAATAATTAGCCAAGAACTTATGAAATTGGCTTTGGAAGCGCACCATCTCCTCTTCCGGCAGAGCAACCAATACATTGACTCCACTTCTGTTCTCAATATCGGGGAAGAGCAAGATTATGTCCTTTCGCCGGTACACGACGGGGCAGCTGTACCTGGGCCTTCCCCACGGATAATCCACCTCTTCAAACCCTAACTTCCACCACGATGACAAAAGAAACTCGCCATGTGGGATCCCTCTATATATCTCTCCCCAGTCTATGGCTGACCTAGCGTACTCGTCAGTCATCCTCGTTGCTGCCTCTCCTACCTTCTCCACCAATTTCCAGAACGGTGCTTCCTCGAGCTCCCCACATTTAGCCATTGCATAAGCCGTTAGGACCCCGTTCCCAGTAAATGACCTCGGTAGTGGAGGGTTCAATCTCCGCCTTATATCTACTGCGTAAAGCATCTTAGAAATCCTGTCACTTGTGTTGTCACTTGATGAGAGTGCCTTGCACCGCCACACGAGTGCTGTTACGACGTTGAACCCAGTTATCCGTGTCTCTATGTGGGTTCCACTTGGCGCCTTGGCTTTCTCTTTAAGGTCAGAGATGTCATCGGAGGTGAGCCGGAAGATCTTAAAGTCTAGGTCTTCCGGAGTGGCCTCAAAGACCGGATCGGGGCAGGAGTGTTCAAGCTTCAAAAGCTCGTGGTGGGGGAAGTCGACATGTGGTGGGGAACGGGCGACCAGGATTCTGCGGTCATTGAATGGGGCGACCGGCAAGGGTTTGCCGGCAGCTAAGGCAGCCAAGTTGTCCAGGAAGATTTTGAAGGCTAAGCCATCGAAGTTTATATGGTTTGTGGATATGCCCATTGCAAAACCACCGCACTTGAATGATGTTATCTGTGCATTGTGAAGGATACACAACTTTCAATTATTAGCTAATAATAGTTATAAAAAAGAGAAGTATTGTGGATGCCGTTCAGATTATACAACATAAACTATTAAATATAAAATAAGTCTTTTGATATTAAGAATTATCTTCTTATATATTAATTCATGTTTTTAGTGCAAACTACAAAATATAAAAATCATAATAATATAACAAAATAACAAAAAATACTCAAAAAATTACACATACATACACAAATTAGGGGAAAAAAACAAGAAAAAGAAAAAGAAAAAATTGATGATCATCACAGGTAACATGCATGTAGTGATCATGAAAGCCAGCAAATCAAGCTAGAAAATTAAATGCAGCTGATAAAATAGATAGATATGCAATTAAAGTTTTTTTTTCTTTTTTTATTTTGCTTTTTGTTTTTAAGAGTTTGTGTGATCTAACTTCTTTAATATTGCAAAAAGCGCAACAGGATAGAAATGAGTCGTTGGAGTCGCTATAGAAACAGCTTGCTATCGATGTCATAATAAGTTCAATGGAATGGGAGAAGTAAGAACTCTCTGGCCCAACACTAAGCTGCTTGGTGATGGAAAGAGCATATTCTAATTTGTTAATGAAGTTTAGGTGGATCCAAATAATACAATAAATTTTAGGTCTGGTATCTATAAAACTAAAAAAAGGATTGATATATTTTTGATTTAACACATATGTAAATAATTAACAATCCAATTATTAAAATTTGAAGGTTTAAGTTTTTACTCCTTAAATTCAAATTTAAAATAATATTTTTAATCAACTAAAATAATAATTTTTAAAAAAATATATTGTGAAATATGTTGAATTAAAAAGTATATTAATTATCATCCATAAAATTAACAAATATTATTAATTAAGTTTGGTTTTAATTTCATATAATATCATATTAGTATCATTATTTCATCATGATCACTTTCAAAAATTTAAAGTTAAAGTTATTAGTATGGTTTGGTTGGAAATTTATGTATATCAACTAAAAGTGTATTTTCTTCCGATATGAGATTAATTTTGGACAGGGTGTCACAACCACAACTAGCTAGCTAGCTAAGTAAGAGCGAGTTAGTTATATATCCACGAGATTAGAGTGAATTATTTCTACAAGGTTTTCAAATTCTTACCTGGAAAAAGCAAAGTGGTTCATCTTGATTATCTTGACCCAAGTTATCCATGCTCTTAGAAATGAGTTGCCCAAAAGCTGGGTTAGGATAAACCAAGTCTCCAATATCATCCAATGGGTACTCACTGGAGGCCACGGAGAAAACTATTCCAGCCCCATTGCAATCTATCTCCAAACGACCCGTCTCAGGATTTGCCCTCAGTCTCCCGGCCAGGAAATCATATGGCACCAAAATTTCTGCCAAGGTTTTCTTGAGCATCTCCACGACAATTTCTGGAGGAAAATCCTTATTGAAGGGAAAGAAATGAACTGTTTCGACATGGAAATTGAGAATTCTGTCAATGTTTGACAAGAAAATGGATTGTCTCTTGGTTTCTTGGGATGGAAGAATGAGAGAAGTGGATTGGAAAGTGACTTTGAGGTCTTGGAGAAGCTCAGGAGGAGTTTCTTTGGAGATGGTACCCATGTTTTGTTAATTTGGTCGTTGATGTCACTCTGGATATAATGCAGAGCAGCAGTGCTGAGGGCTTTATTTATATGCAAACTTTGGTGAAAATACCAAAAGGAATGGATGAATTTGATGTGGCGGAGAAATTGCCAACAAATCAGATAAAATAATACAAAGAAAATGAGGAAAAAACCCACTGTCCACGGAAGTCCGACCGACAGCGTCAAGAATTAGGAGTTTCACATCTTTCACGAGAGAAAATGCGGTAAATAAAAATGATAATTTTATATTTTTTTATTTAAAAATATTAATTTTATTATTTTTTAAATATAAATATTAATTTTTATTTTTTTATTTAAAAATATTAATTTTTAATTCTTTCTATTTAAAAATACTAATTTTTAACATTCCAATTAAAAAGTCAATTTGCCATATCAATATGATATCTAATTAATTGTTAAATAACAAAATTAAAAGTTAATATTTTTAAATAAAAAAATTAAAAGTTAATATTTTTAAATAAAAAAATTAAAAGTTAACAATATTAAATAAAAAAATTAAAAAATGATATTTTTATTTAAAAATTAATAAAATTAACATATTTAAATAAAAAAAATACAAAATAAACATAACATCTTTAAATAAAAAGTTACAAAGTAAACATCCTTATTGACATCTTTCCCCTCTTTCACAACAATGGAGAAGATGACTCAGCATGAATTTATTGCCTCCCAATATCACATACGTTCAGATAATGAATTGTAGGAAGGCACATAAAAAGCAAACATATTGTTTTACTTACAAATTGTTCCATTTATAGTTATTGGATAAATTATCTCCATTCTCCATCCAAAGGTGATATGCGTAACTTGTTTTGATTATTTGCACTAAGTGGTACTGAAGTGATTCAAATCTACTTTGCAGGTTTTTTTTTTAAAAAAGAAAAACTAATTTCATGTTGAATTTTATAATTTGTATTTCTTTGATTTATTGTATAATTTGAATCGGTGGCTGTGGCTTGTGAGTTATTAATTGGTTGACACATCGACCAGTGAAAAATTACCAAGACAAGTAAGGCTAAAATGAAATTAGGCTAATATGCATGCTCAGATGCTCTCAAGTATAAAACGTCAACCCCAATTGAGTTGGATGCACTGGTAATTAAAAATGTTATTTTGTAAATCAAGTCCAAAATTTAAGTTTTGGGGACAACACTCAATAAAATTAATTTTTTTAAATGTACCAGACCAATGTGGGGAGTATGCTTTTAAAATCATTAAGGGAGAGATTAGTTTTAAGATGCATAAAAACTGATATGAGAACACAATATACCAAAAAGAAGAAGAAGAAGAAGAAGAAGAAGAATGTCAACCCCACAACCATATATTTGAAGTTTTAAGGTTCTAAAATGCTCTACAATAAATAAATGAGAAGGTTGCAACTGGTTAAGTTGACAGATGAATGTACAGAATTCAATATTCAATGTTTTCTTATTTAGCAAATAGCAATGAAAAGAAGGACCGAATGCAAAGGGAAGAATTGTTAGAGATCTCCTTAATTATGTAGCCCAAATATTAAAAAACCAAAACAAAAGAAAAAAAAAAAGGACTATTTTCCTGATTTGGCTCAACTTCTAAGAAAACTTTTTTATTGTAAATGTTGAAATTGAAATAAATAATTAAGGTCTTTTGATTTTTTTTTTTAAAGCTATTTTTAGCCTTTAAAAGAGTATAAAGTAAAGAAAAAAATGTTTTTTTTTTTTTTTTGTATTTTTTATGTTAGATAATAAGCTATGCAATAAAGGAGTCCTATCCTTCCCAAACCTCTCCCTAAATCCCTCCTCACCTATTTCATAATTCAAACTTAATATTTCCAATATAAAAATTCAAGTTTTTAACTACTAAGATATCCCTAGGAGACAAGAAAAAATGTTTATTAGTCATACTTACAACAAATTATGTGGAAAAATACTCTAAAACTACTTTGTTTTAATTAATTGTCATTGAAAAAGACTAAAACATCTGAATTTTTAATACATGAATGGGACTATTTTAGTATTTTCTAGTAGTGCTCTATTGAAACAATGTATTTTTGAATATTTTCTACCTACTCCTTTTACAAGTTCAACTGATAAATACTAATCTCATAAAATAATGATAGCAAAAAGAAGTATTAAATAAAGAGATTAGTTTTTATTAGTCGGACCAACAATTAAGTTAAAAAACATTTAAAATTACATTTTTTTTTTCAAGAAAGGACTATAAGAAAAGACTAAAATAGTCTTTTTTAAAAAAATAAAATGTTTTAGTCTTTTTTTAATGAAAATTAATTAAAAATGCAGTTTTAGTGTACTTTTAAAGAGAATCAAATCACAAAATGATTGATTTTATTATAAAAGGAAGAAAGAAGGGGATCAACTTATGTAATGATTGATCCGACTATAAAAAGAAGGAATATCAAGTCATTATGAAAATTGTTCAATCGGGGAGAAATCAATTTATCAGTTAATTGATTGCAAGGATTTGATATATATAGATTGTGATCTCATTAATAGAAGATTTTTAATTGATTATCATTTTCTTGTATTATGTATCCCTTCATCTTACAAATAGGATTGCTCATATGTAAAAAAAGAATAAAAATAAATAAATGTACAAAACCCAAATAGGCTTTTATATTGTAAACTAATGGGGTCTTGATACATCATAACATTCTAATACTATTCCAAACCAGGTAATATTGCATTGAGTAAAGGTTATTTTTGTCTTTTTCTTTTTCTACCACTTTTAACTTCTAATCATTTTTTAAAAAGAAAAAAAAAATAGAGAGATGAAAAAAAGACTTCTTTTCAAAAGCCTACAATGAAAAAAAAAATCTCTTTTTATGTGTTTGCAAAAACCTACAAATATAAGAGACCATTTGACCATTTAAAAAAATAAAAAAGAGAGAGCGAGAGAGAGATCCATTGAAGAAAAACAAAAACTTCTACTTTCTTACAGGGACAAAATAGATCAGGAGACCATTAAGCCATCTTCTAGAGTTCTCTCTGCAAGCCAAAAAAACTACTGCAAATTTTAGAGAATGAGCAGCACCAATCTTGAAGGTGATTTACAAACAAGTTGAAAACTCACTAATATCTCCATGCTCTAACTCAAGGGGAGTAAAAATGATCAAATCATAAAATGATTGATCTTATTATAAAAGGAAAAAAAAAAAAAAAAGGGAATCAAATAATGTAATGATAGATCTGATGGTAAAAAGAAGGAATATCACGTCATTATAAAAATTGATCAACCAAAAAAAAATTAATTTATCAAGTGATTGATTTTAAAGATTTGATATTAATTGTACTCTCATTTACTTTTTTTTCCGTCATTAATTTTAACCCTATAATTAAAGCTTACGTTTAATAATCTACGTCACTCCCATTATCTTTCCTTACATCTCTCAGCAATAATTAATAGTGTAAATGCTTAACTGAAAAATATATATAAGTTAATCATAACAATAATTATCATTTTTTAATCTATGTACGTTAATAATAATAATAATAATAACTTGTATTTTTAAGGGAACAAATTAGGAATATTTTTCAGAATTAATTGTCATTAAAAAAATAAATTTTAACATTTATTTAATCAATTATCCAATTAAAGCACTACATGTAGTATTGGTGATAAAACTAATATCAACTTTTATTATTTTTTATATTAATTAACATAAAAAATATATATTAATTACACCATTAATCTGTGTCCTAATAATAATAATAATAATAATGATAATAAAAAACAAAATGTGAGACAAAGGATGAAAAAAATAACTAGACCACTTAATTTTCGTTTTCTTTTTTGCATCTAACCTCGCCTGTTTCACAATAAACAAACTTGTTTTTGTTACACAATGTGAGGCCATGGATCATTTACTCTTTGGATGCAAAACATCATGGCCGATTTGGGCTTCTTGTTACAATTGGCGGGACATACAGGCGGCATCACAAAGGGAAGGATGGAATGATCATATATATCTCACAACATTTTGGTTTGTTATCCAGCAAATACTTACAGCAGGTATGGGCAGTCATCATATGGTTTTGTATTGTATGGTCCCTATGGTTATGGAGGAATGGCCGAATCTTCCAGAAGAGGGCATCTTCAATGGAAAAGGTAGTAGTGCTTATCAAATGCCGATCATTTTTCTAGATTAAAGCTAATATATGTTCCGATCTTGACTGAGAGTTATGGTTGAGGTCACCAAAGGAACCCTGCAAGCTGAAGAATAAGTCTCTGATTTGATTGCTCAAGACTTGCTATTTTGTGGTTTAGAGTAATGAATTGGTTTAGAGTAATGAATTTGTAAACTTATAAGAACGGATTTATTTTTTAGTAAAGAGGCTTGGAGTACTTTATATTCTAAATATTAAAGTTTATTTTTTGTTGATAAAAAAATAATAAAAAAATTAATTTTAGGAAAATACATCGTTGGATAGTTAATGTGGTAGCTGTACTTGTTTTCTTTTATTTATTGGTGGATATGAGTCGTTGTGATTGTGAGTTGTAAGGGTAGTTGTATCGTTTTTACTTCCTTCATTTATAGGTACAGTGCAGATTTTTACTTCCTTTAATTATAGGTTGAGTACAGAACTTTATTTAATATACATGTTGACGAACAGAGAACTACTTAAGAATTTTTGCCAAGATTGGTTTTTTTTTTTTTTTTTAACTTATAGTTAGATGTCTTCCTATATATTTTACATATTTTAAAATTAATTTTTTTAAATACTCTTAAAAATACATCTCTATATTAATTTAATACATTTAAAAAATTTTAATTTTTTAAAAACTTAATTTACAAAACAATATTTACTAGTTAATAAATTTAACCTTTGTGATTTTGCCAAGATTTATGTCATAACAGATAAGTGATCATTGATCCATTAATTGGCCTGGCATGGCTTTGCCTTAACAGTTGGTAGTAGACTATGGGTGCATTTAACATTAATAAGGATGCATTTAAGATTGCTATAGAGTGTTGTGACCATAGTTGTGACTATAA